GGAACAGACAAGTTGCTGCCCGTTTTGTTCTTCAGTCTAGTTGTGGAGGACGTTGCTTCACTGGCCCAAGTTGGCACCATCATTGCGCTCTTCCCGGGCAGGGCAGATCAGTCGCCGGCTTCTGGACGGCCGCTCACTGCGGCTGCTGGCTACTCACGCTGGCTGCTGGCTACACACGGTAGCCCATGGCAACCCACTGCCACAGGGGCTGCAGCCTACGCCGTCAACCGGCAACTCACGGCAGCCCAGCTCCAGGTTGAGCTGTTGTTCAGCATCTTAGCTGTAGAGGGCGGAGTCACTGGCCCTCATATGTGGGATCCGAACCGGGGCCCTCTGGCATCCCAAGCCAGTTCTTAACCTACGCGCTACTCAGCCAGCCCCCTACCTCTTCTTATGTGCATCAGTCAGTTCTCTTTATCTTATGTGTAGCTTGTTGATAAAATTGGTAATTAATACTTAAAATATTTAGGGACGCTTGTGTCACAGCCTTCAGAGTCCTTCTCCACTGACAAGTACTTCTTAAACATGCACTTGGCCACACTTTTGTTAAGATCCTCGTAGGGTAACAGCCTTTAATATCCTCTGTGCTGTTGCAGAGGCATAAACTGCATCTTTAAGATCAAAAGAAGCCCGAGATTTCTACATATTGCAGTCAGAACTCATTAATTTGTGAGTGAAAGCTGCCCAGTAATCCAGTCTAGAGCTTCTGGATGACACCTTGATTCATTGGCTGGATTAAAGAAGTCCTTTTTGCAGGCAGGTAGGTGACAAAGCTGTTGCCACAGGTAAGACCTGAGGTTAGAGGATGTCCCCTGCAATTACCTAAGAAAAGAATCCTAGGCATTCGGAGGGCTTCTTTCCTGTTGGGCCTCACTCATTCAATTAAAAAACCACCTCTGCCAAGCTCAGCAGTCATCCAGGTACTTCTGTGCAGGTCCTGAAATACACAGACAGGCCAGCACCCTCCTCCCATCCCATCGCATCCCATCCCCCGAGGCCCTGGCACCAACAGGAACAGTGGTTCCATTTGTTCCCTTTGAACTTGAAAGAAACCACAAGGACTCTGTTTTCATCGCCAGGTTATTATTGGGCAAATAATGTCCATGAAGTACAGACTTGTCTTTGTTATAAAATCGATAAGATGTCAGATTATGCTTCTAGAACCAAAGAAT